ACAGAGAAAGAGAGACAGACAGACAGACAGACGGACGGACGGACGGACAGACAGACAGACAGACGGACGGACAGACAGACAGACAGACAGACAGACCGACGGACGGACGGACAGACAGACAGACACACACACACACACACATATATATATATATATTTTTTTTTTCCTCCATATCTATATATATATATACACATGGATCCATCTTTTTGTCTCCAGATAGATTGATTGATTGGTTGATTTGGTAGATAGAAAGCTTCGATGGCGCCGACTTTGGCCATGTTACGATGATGAAGAAAGCCGGTGATTGAATTGCCTATGCTTGTGAGAACCGAGAACCTGGCACTATAGAATCGTGCTGTACTTGTTGGTCGTTCATGTTGCTGCTGACCTTGTGTAATGGTGTGAAGCGAGCTTGCACATGCGAGGCCAGAAGTGGGGAAGACATGAGCAGAAGCAACCGGAAGCAAAACAAAATCACACATCCAGTATCCGTCACGAACTACAATATGAAGTCCCTCTCCATACTAGATTTCTATTTGCGTTGAACCGAGCCCATCTTAGCCTCAAACATGGAGCCGTGCAGACGAGAGTCCCAAAGCTTGGCCTCAAGGCTTTGGACAAATCCTGGTAAGCTCCGAAGAGCCGGCGGTTTTTGTTTGCGGCTTGAGGGTGGTGTTGAGGGTACCCGGGTTTCCTGAGACAGGTTGGAGCACCTGGCTCGGGTCGCCCGCGTCATCAAAAGCCCGGGTGGCAATGCCTTGCTCGTGGTCCGCCTAGAAGGGACAAGAGACAGGCAGTTGCGCGCAGTCGATCCCTGTGTGATAAGCTCACCGCGGTCCCTGCATGTCGCCAGTGTTGTGAAGCTCGTCGCAACAGAAGATATGACGCCAACTTTCGCTAGCCCAAGCCAACTTCATGAGACATGCAAAAGTAGACTTCAATCTCTTTTCTGCTCCCTAGCCCGAAGACCTTTCAAAGGTGGGCGTCGGGGGCAGTGGACGACAAAGCTGCACACGCTTGGTCAGCCGCCCATTGCTCTTTCTCTGCGTGTGGGTGTGCTTTAGACGTCAGTCTATGTATCACGGTCATCGTTGCTGGTAGTTGTATCGAGGCGACTGTCTTAGTCGAGGTTCGATCATACGGATGTGGTTGGGCATTAACGTTGTCATGCTTCTTAGCATCTACACTGAACTTAGGCATGAGTATATGCATTTGTGACTTATTGTGCTCCTAATTTATTGTGTTTGCCTATCTGCTGTTATGCATTCTCCGCCCTACTCCATCACTGATGTTGGGCATTGTTTGTGCTCGGCTCGTGGATGCCTGGACGCGAAGACGCCGACGGTCCCGGTGATGCAGATGATGATCAAGGATGAGAAAGAGCAGCGGCAGTACTAGCCGTGGTGGCGGTGATGGTGGTCGTGATAGCAGTAGTCGTAGCAGTACTAGTCGCCGTCGTAGCGGTAGCGGTAGTGGTACGGTGGGTCAACAGAAGTAGAGGTAGTGATATTAGTGGTGACAGTGGTACTAGTGGTGGTAGTGGTGGTGATGGTGGGGCGGTAGTGATAGTAGTAGTAGTAGTAGTAGTAGTAGTAGTAGTAGTAGTAGTATAGTAGTCGTAGTAGTAGTAGTAGTCGTCGTCGTCGTAGTAGTAGTCGTAGTAGTAGTAGTAGTAGTCGTAGTAGTTGTAGTCGTAGTAGTATTAGTAGTAGTAATTGCGGGCAAATAGGCTAA